CGCATCAGTCGATGACTACGGCCTTAACATTGACGGAGGCGCTCACGAAGGACAGGCGTCTGAGCATGCTTCTCATCAATGTATATATTATTTGAGTATGTGGGCGTCTTTCCGAGAACAGTATGACACTTCATGTTCCTCATACGGTTTCCATGGTTCTGAATCGGCAGCCCGTGCCAAATTAAAATCTCAGGAGAGTTTGACAGCCCGAAGATGAAATCCGGGATCCCAGCATAAGGAAAGTTGCCGAAGACGATCCTGGAGTTCCCACCACCGTCTGCACCCGTTGCACGATGCTATCATCGGAAATGATGCCAAACCATCATACGTATGCGACCCTCGAACATCTGCAGGGTGCGGAAATAACATAGGCTTCTAGATCCACACTTCCATGCCATGTGTGTTGGACGAATTCATGTCCGCGTCTACTGCGCAGAGACGATCCTGCCTATGCTGATGTAGAGGGGATGGGTGGTGGTCCACGGCTTCCAGGAAAGATGCCTACAGTAGTGTGATGCTGCGCTTCCGAAGGCGCGGCGGAGCTAACCACATAGGTTAGCCTGAGCGCCGAGCGACTGGATGGCTCACAGGGGCGCCAGGATGTGGACAAAGAATTTGAAAGATGACGGGTCGGTGGTAACATATGTCATACGCAAGCATCAAAATAAACCTGCCTTCTCAATAAAGGCTTATTCTATTCACGAACCCCCTTCGTAAGACGAACCCAGGGTTTGTTGACGAACCCCGCTTTTTTTCTACTTAGAAAGGGGGTTTGTGCCGGCCGGCGACGGTTTCCCAAAATGGTTGTATCTGTATTTGTCACTATTGATCGATATCGATGACCGTTGCACAACTGGTTTCGGACTGACATGCTGCGACTGCCACATCCCAATTGCATCCCAAGTCCTTTCGTTGCATCTTCTGTTCCCATTCATGTACCCATTGTGCCTTGCCTCCTATGCCTGGATTTCCCTTCGGTTCTGAAGGGATGATGAGCCTGGCAGCAGGAATGGGCATGATCGGGGACGGCACCGACTTGAAGAGTCCGGGAGGGAAGACTTCTGCAAACCTATCGAGATTTCTCGCCAAATGGTTTTGTATATCAACTCATGTGCATCGTTCACGGTTCAACTCTCTGACAAATCTAGTGCTTCGGCAATCGGCACTCGTATTGCAGTAGGTCTATTTTAATGGGCGTGTACTCGAGTACTAGGCGAGCTGAAAACGACGAAACGCGACGTGACGGAATTCAAGACCCACCAATCATTATGCACAAACGATGACCTCACACAGCGCGCATTACAGGACCACTTGAGGGTAGAGCACGAGGGGGAGGTGCTGGAACGCTTCCTGTCGGGCCTGATGCTCATGCAAGGCGGAGTACTCGGCGGCGTGCACTTTGTCGCCAATAAATAAACAACCGCTCGACTCGTCCATTGAATGAGGATGATATGTGTTGAAACTAATAGGATTAATCTGTACGAAACGGTAGGCAAAAAATCACTAAACAGATGTTGAATGAAATATTTATGTGACATCTATACCGGCCGTGACCAGGAACAGCGGCGGCTCACCGGCGTTGCACAAGCGGGGTTCGTACATAACAAGTTTTCAACAAGGTGGGTTCGTCCTACGAAGGGGGTTTGTAAATAGAATAAGCCCTCAATATACGTACATACTCGAAATGATTGACGGATAATCTGGAGGGACTTCTCTCGCCCGCTACGACGACTTCTTTCATTATCTTGGGGCACGATGCCGTTGAGGGACTAATGCTGTAGCCAATCTTCTGCGGTAGGATGCGTGGAAGACGGTAAGATCAACTGCTCAAAGACGGATCGGCCGCTTACTGGCAAAAGCCGAAGTGGTGTGCAAGATTTACTCCGCTGCGATAACGGCAGCTCGAAGACCCCAACAACCTAACAGGAAGAAGATGACATAACTGGCAGGAGCCTGAACGGTCAGCGAGAAGAAGAGACTGCCAGACAGCGACTTCGATGGGACTAGACGAACCTGGTTGCGTATGGCGTCACGAACCTCCCGTTTTAGATCCCGGGACAAAAGAATGGGAAAACATGGACATGGTAGACATGGACGCTCAGATAGTGAGGGTGGAGGTGGAGCGCCTGGGAAGAAATACGTTACGACTGTGTGCTTATTCCAGCTCAGAGTGTGCCTCTGTCACACCTGCCAATGAACGACAGATGGATCGACAAACATCCGTGTGTGTACATGAAGCGTCAATGTCCTGCCACAATGCACGTTTATGAATCTGGTCAGGCAACTATAACCAGAGTCCTGGATTGAATAGAGCCACGTCAAGTCGAACGAGAGCTGATGGGGCGTTTTGAGGCTTGTTCGAGCAGGCTTGGCGCGGTGGTCCCCATGGGCAAGGGTATTTCCAAGTTGAAGAAAACATGCGACAATTTGCATGGAAGGATTTCAGCTCCGAGTCATGCTCCTTATGCGCGTTGACCTTCCATAACCATTCGACACGGACTAGATGTGCGTCTGCATCACGAAGCCCACCATGTCCCTCTGCTGTGCGGAGGGTTCGTTCAACACAGTGATGCGCAGGCTTGCAGTTCAGAAGCATCTCTTGTTCGAGAATGTAGTTCCAAGCTTGGAATGGTCACTGCGGAGGACCACATATACAGATGCCAGAAGCTCTTGGGATGACCCACGCCCGTCGTGAATAGAAGGCAAATAATTTGACGTGTCTACCAGATCGAATTATTCCTGTCCAAAAGAACATTCGTGGCTGACTATTTGTTGGTCTACAGAGATTCTCTGCCGTCACCGAAGTGTCGTAGCGTCAACGATGCGGCATTCGTCTTCAGCAGAGGCAGGCAGGCTTGGCCGCCTTGGCCCTTTGCGAATATGATCCTGGTCTTAGCCAGCTAGAAGCAGCTTAAACCTGATAAGATCTGTCGCTGGTGTAGAGTAAGACCTCCAATGAAGGCCAGAAACAGAGCCATCCGTCAGAATCTTGTCAGAATCTGAGAAGCGTAGTCAACTGTCATTTTCGAGCGCGATCCGTGGCTGCAAGTCATCACCGTGCGAAGACGGCCTCCGCGCTGGAAGGAGAGGATTTGGGACGGAAAGAATATGGCGAAATGCCATGCTCTTCGGATCGTGGTGTTTTAGAAATAACGGCCGGGGTTCAACAAGGGCATCAAACCAGAGTTGGTTTAAATTGAATCAGGAGTGGCTCTAGCGTCCAGGGTGACTGTTGAGGAAAGACGCTTCTCTTCGCCACGAGGCTCGCACTGCCCAGTTGAGTCACTAGTCCGATCTAAGTCTCGAGGCCTTGAAAATGGTAGAATTACGGATGGCTTCTGGTCGTGGAATGAAGAACGCAAGCCTTCCGAGTATGCTTTCACTCTACAGTCGGTTGATGGTCGGTCATTCAGGTGGAATCTGGATGGAACATGCTGATAATGAAGGTTTTGGCTAGTCGCAAGTGGTGGAACAGCTAGCCTCTTGGAAGTCGGGCGTATCTGAGTGGGTCAATGATATCGCGAGCGTAAAAATGGAATATTAGATGTTCGTGCATCGTTTGCAGCTTACAGGGAACGCGTACCTGGGATCTCGGGGTTCCCTATGATCGTAGCTGTTGGCCATGATTGCATAGAAGTTTTAGTGGAGTAGAAGTCGGAGAAAGGAGAAAGGAAACCCGAACCATTGAAGTTGTTTCAATTGTTTGTCTCCAAAGCAGACCACCAAATAACGCATGTGCCGAATTGGGATGGCGACTTGGTGCACGCATCTTTTCAGGTCAGCGCGCACTCGGAAATCTTCATCATCCCCCGCCTCCCAAGGGTCGATGGCGTAGCTGGTTATCGCATCTGTCTAACATAGTTATCCGAATCAGCATGTACACAGAAGGTCCTCAGTTCGAACCTGGGTCGACTCATCTTTTGCCACACACGTACCATCACAGGCTTCACCTGCCTCTCATTTGGCGACAGGGGGCATTTTTGCATATTCCAAATTTTCCGATTCACCACTGTCCACTCGGCCGGCCTAAGGCTCCAACCGTACTATCTATTTACCATATATATACAGTAGATACCGTATATGTTTACGTATATGTATAGGCCTGTTCGAAAAATTGTCCTATACAGTAGATATACAGTATAGCATATGGTTATACTGTTAATTTTTCCCGTACAGTAAATCAGTGGCTTTCCTGGGGCCTAGGTTGATTTTGCAGTGATAGGTCGCAATCGAGGTGTCAGCAAATAACGAGAGAACGAGGGGTGTTTTTGGACAAGGCGTAACCAAAAACACCTCTCGGATCGGGCTTGGCCTATTTTTAGATCGTCCACAGCGAGCTACTCCAAAATTGTAACACGTTGTGCGCGTTCTTCTGACATATCTCAGTGACAAGTCTCATTCTCTGTGAGCAGAGCCTTTTAGACTGTCAGGTCAGACACTGGACAATGCAGGGAACGTGTCCCTTTCATAAGCAAGCAATTTCGAACTTACATGTCCAGGTTGATTGAAGATCGGTCGTCCTTGGGTCGTCCACCGCATAATAATTTATTGCTCAAAATTTTGAGGTAGTTTTAGGTAGTTTTACGAGACTTCTTGGCCATACCAGCAACAATTGTATCCGTCGAGCGCACCTTCTCAAAATTACGACACACTGCATCTCTGCGGATCTCAGCAGCCCCTGGAAGGCCGAGACAATCAGTCAAGATCTGTTGTCGAAGGTATGGACTCGGTCGGGGTTATTTGATGTCAACGAGCCCAAGGTTCCGGTCGGAAAGCATGGCTCGATCTGACCCTATAACAACTGTCTACATCATACCGTATAACCATATATATACTGTATATACACACTAAATAACTGTATCCGTATATCTAGGCCCTTGGTCGTATACGGATACAGTACGGTTGGAGCCTTAGGCCGGCCTCATTTTCAGATCAAGAACACCTCCACCCTTTCACCTCAAAGAACTCATAAATCCCTTCTATCCCCGCCTCAAATCAAAGGGTCGATGGCGTAGTTGGTTATCGCATCTGTCTAACATGGGTTTGATATTTCGAGTCGAATGTTCATTCGAGTCGAAATATCAAGGCTGTCACAACACAGAAGGTCCTCAGTTCGAACCTGGGTCGACTCATCTTTTGCTTCCCCTCCCATCGAGTCCTCGTCTAAGTCATCGTGGTCCTCATCACTGACATTTCGTGGGGACGCGATTAATACATCTTTTAAATTCTGTCACTACATGCAGAAATGCAACCCGTAACTATATGTAGCAACCGTGCTTTGATTTTCTACCTTCCTCCCTCCATCCAACCCCATAACAAAAAACCAAAACCAAAAACGAGCACCAGAAACACCCGTACTAAAGAGCGTACAGTGTACAGTGTACAGTAAGAGTAATGTCCGAATCCACCGAGGATATACCAGAGCGCGAGATATGCAGGGGCGCGAAGCCGAGATGTGTAAGATAACAGAAAGGATAAAGAGCGTGGTGGGTACATGGACAGAGAGATTGAGCAAAGAACGAGTGTGGTACAGAATGCAGATGCAATGAGCTGGAAAAACAAGTCAACGAGTGTGTGTGTGGGGGAGTGTACAAATGCCGATGAGTAACGAGTGTCTTGATTCGAATGCGAATGGAGATACAATTGCAAGGAGCGTGTGTGGGTTTCCGGTGGTGCGGAGGGGGGTGATAAGATGATCGCGATGGTGGGCGATAACGGGGGTACCAGTGCTGGTGGTAGCAGTGGTAGTGGTGGTGGTGGTGGTGGTGGTGGTGTTGGTGTTGGCGGTGGTGGTGGTGGTTGATTCAGGTGGTAAAGCGCTCGGTGGCTGGTGGCTGGTGGTGATTCAGAGAGGGGCTGCTGGTGGTAATTCCAGTGCAGTAATAGCGGTGTCGAGCGGGTGCCATCCGACATGGCGACGACAGGAAACACAAGCACAAGCACACGGCAAAGCGATAGACGGTGATGTAAGCGATAAGCAAGGAGCAAGAAAAGGATAACGAGGGACAGAAAACGGAGAAAGAAACGGAGGACACAAAGTCTAGTATAGAGTCTAGTAGCAGCCAAAAAAAAAGTTAAAAAATAAAGAAAAACAGAAGATTATTTCCCACAGCCTAGCGTCGAGGGCCGGGCGGCAGGTCGTGCGTGGCGATATTCCCTCCAAAGGCAAGGGTGTGTGTCTTTGTACACCCAACGCTCTCGGGAACCGTGAGGCGGGTAGTTGCAGGCCTAGCCAAAACCCGCATCAGCTCCATCGCAACCACAAATAGAAAGCAGCATACCTAAAGCACAACGCTCTCCCTCCTCCTAGCATGCCCATACCCCCTCCTCTCCGGCCTCCCAACCCCAACCCCAGGATCCACATACGGATACGGGTACACCAGCCTCGTCTTCTTCTCCACCTCGCACGGGTACAGATCCGGGGTGTACACGTTCTCCCCACCCGGGCTCAACGGGAGAGGCGGGTACTCCCCATACCCCGGGGGAAAGACGAAGTCCTTCTTCGGAACAGCCGGCGCAGGAGGGGGAGGAGCAGGTGTAGACCCCAAACGCATACGCCTAGCCAGCCCCCTGAACCCGCCCAGCCCCGTGCTGCGTCTACTCCTCACCGCTCGTTCCGGTGAGGCTGGTACTGGGGCGGAGGGAGAAGAGGAGGCGGGGAAGGCGTAGGAGGGGGAGGTGGGGGAGGTGACGGTGGGAGAAATGGGAGAGAAGGGAGGGGTGGGGGCGGTGGAGAGGACGCCGAGGCCTAGGGAGAGGATGGAGTCGCTGTCTGTGTTGGTGTTGGTGTTGGTGTTGGTGTTGAGGTGAAGACCGTTGCCCTTGGCCTTGCTCTTCTTCGCCTTCTTCTCCTTCTTTGGCTTTAGGGATATCCCCGAAGGTGCGGGCGACGGCGCGGACACAAACTCCAGCTCAGGCGAAGGCAACAAATCAAGGCACACCGTCGACCCCTGTGCAAGCCTACCCTTCTCCCCCTGCTTCCTCCTTCTCTCCAGCTCCCTCTCACGACGCGAACCGTGCCCCATATCACTGTCCAGCAAAGACGCCGTAGGCGACGGGGGTGCACACGTGAACGCCATCGGCGAGGATGGGCTCGGCGACCTCGACTCTGCATCCCCGTAGGATGAGGAGTAGTAGGAAGGCGAGGCGGGCGTAGGCGTGGGCGGTGTCGGCGTTACGCCGGCTGGTGTTGTTACACGATCCAACATCTCCCCAAACTCGACCCCATAATCAGATACAGACGCAGCCTCAGGGGAGTGCATGATCTCGAGCGCAGATGCAGGCGCTGCCAGGCGGGTGAAGATAGACAGTGCGGGCTTCGTACGCGGCGAGCGCGGGACATGTTGGGTCCGGTCTTTCGCGGGTATGGGCGGGGCGGGGTCGTCGTCTACGAGCCCGAGCCCGAGACCTTGGATGAGGGAGGACCAGCTGTTGGCGCTCGCGTGGGTGGGGCGATCACGGTCGCGGTCACGTTCGGACTGGGGCTGATACACCGCGTCTGGGGTAGTATCGTGGGTGGAGGGGGAGGCGAGGCTGCGGATGATCATGGGCGGGTCGTCGCGCTCGAGGTACGCCTCCCGCATCTCGCGCTCCTGCGCGGGGAGAGACGTTGCGGAGGAGGAGGCGGTGGGGGAGAGGAGTCCGCCGGCGCCGAGGCTGAGACGGGAGATGAAGGACGTAAGGCGTTTGCGCTTGGGTGCCTTCTCGGCCTTCTCCCGCTCCTTGAGGTCGCGCGACGAAGCCTGCTTGGCGAGGCCCTTCTTGCCCTTTTCTTTTTCTTTTTTGGTGGGTGGGTGGTCGGGGTCGTTCGGGGGTGCTTCGAGGGAGGAGGTGAGGGACCAGCGTGAGCCGACGTGCGGGGGCGGGGCGAGGAGTGCGGGTGGTGAGAGGGGTGTAACAGGTGTGAATGCGGGGGAGGTCGTGGTAGAGGTGTAGGCGGAGTGGTAGGGGAGGCACGCGTCGAGGGGGGAGGGGGGAGAGAAGGGGGAGGAGGGTGCGTATGGGGAACCGAGGTAGACTTGTGAAGAGGGCCCGACGGGGTTCTCGTAGAGCGAACTAAAGTACGCTGCGTCTTCGTCTGGGTCTTCGTCCTCGTCGAGTTCTAGGGTGGAGTCGAACGACGAGGTACGGGAGAGCGTCGAGGCGTGAAGCAGGGCTCCGAGGCGCTCGCCGACGTCGTCGACATCGATGTAGACGGCGTTCCGGACAGAGTCGGGGTAGATGGATGAGTTGGTGGGAATGCGGCGCAGCGAGAGGGCGGACGCGCGTTTGCGCAGGGAGAGGGCAGAGGCGCGTGTGTGGAGGGCGGGGATCACGGCGGGGGGGAGGGGGAGGGGTGCATTTTCGCGCTGGGGGAGGGTCAGGTGGGGGTAGGGGTAAAAAGAGGGCGGACATGCCTTGGAGTCGCAGAGGTCGCGCGGGAAGCCGGGGGCGGGAAAGTGGAGGGGGTCATCTGAGTAGTTGTCGAAGCCGAGGAGGGGGGAGTCGCGGCGGATGTGGGGGTCTGTGTGGTAGGACTGGTGTTGGTAGAGGTCTTGGAGGGAGAGGGACGAGGCGATGGACGAGGTGGACATGGCAAGCCGTCCATTCAACAGCAGTCGAGTATTTTATTCACCCAACAAACTTTTGCGAACCCCGATCCCATCTCAGATTCACCCAATCTCAGGATCCCCATCCGTCCTAATTTGTCGAAACCCGTTCCCATGTCCAACTAGGCAACTCCCACACCCCGTTTCTGCTCCACCAAATCACACGTTCCTCACCCCCCTCCCAAGTTATTTTGACAATCCCCTGTACAACTTCCCCTACATCGCTCCTATACGTTCAATGTCCCCGTAATGCCTACAAAATTCCAGTTCCTATCCCCCGTACCGCGTCACCACTGATCGCGACAAGAGCACCTAGCACTATCGATGATCTGCAAACTCAATAGGCAGTAAAATTGCACCTAGTCTGGGCATCGCCATGCCTAAGTAATCCTCGAGGCCGACCTCGGATCCTTAAAAGAATAAGAATGTGCAGCAACTGAGCACTGCCCATACAAGACGGAGCCATGTAATAGGCACTCACACCGGACCCTAACATTCCCTCAAGTTCACCGTCATCATCTTAGTCCATACTTACACTAAGGCTACACCGCTACAACCCAAATACGATATATGTCCTCTTCTCAAGACCCGACCTTCCTCCCTCTTCGCAAGAAACATTCATGCAGCTCGGATATATCTTCTCAACATGGCGCGTACATGTATCTATCTGATAAGTCCCGCCCACCCTGCATCCTTCTTTCACCGGCGAGTTCAACTTTTCAACGCCAACGCGTCGGCCAAATGTCAGAAAACTCGGGTACACCACAACATCGTGACTTGCTTAGACTACGCATAGGTATGCCCCCCTCCCTACTGCCCAGCCGCCCCAACCATGCGAGTTGCTGGGTGGAAATTCAAATTTATGTGTTAATAAGCTTTGCAGAAACCCCGACGATATTCATTCCCTCATGATATCTCCGCCACCCTGCGTCCTCGAGGCCCAATGCCGTGCAACTCAAACGGCGGTAGATTCACAAAAAGGAACATACATGATACATGCAATATAGCATATACAAGCCTCGAGGCGCGAGGCTCGCCGCCAAAGGTGACCCGCCCCCCACCCCCACTCCCACTTCCCAGACTAGCGTCGCCTGTCGTCGGCATCACCTGCCACATGTCCTCGAAGTGCAGGACCGTCGAACATTAGATCCCCGCGAACCGCCGGCACCGCGCGGTCCCCCTTGCCCGACGTTACCTTACTTACCTGAGCCTCCGAGCCGTCGGGGTGATCCAAATGGCAGTATGTACCAAAATATAAACGAAACGATCATCCCCTCGACATTCGCAACGAAATCATCATACATAACACTTGAAGCTTGAAGCTTGATTGATGATGATTTCGGTGATTGGCAAGATGGGCATGCGAGGAGGTGATGGTGGTATGCAGTACAGAGAGGAGGTGAGCTTCGTCGTAGTATGCATCGGCGCGATGCAGCATGGGGTTAATTTAGAAGGGGCAGCAGTGAATGCATACAACGCGCACGGACCATATGTATATGCATGGGGACTCTGCCGTCGCGCTCTGGTTTGTTACGCGACGCAAC